TGCACTCCAGTCTGGGCGACAGAGTGAGACTCCAACTCAAAAAAAAAAAAATTGCAGTTTTATATATTTAAGGTATAACAGTGTGCTGTCTTGATAGAAACACAGTGAATCGATTACTATAGTCCAGCTAAGTAACATCTCCATCTCCAGGAAAATCTTTTAACAGTTTCTGGTGAAGGGATGGTAGCTAACAGTATCTTAGGGGAAAAACAGTGATAGTATCTAAAGCTAAAAGTAAACGAGAGCAGGTGTGGTAGCTCACACTTGTAATCTAAGCACTTTGGGAGGCTAAGGTGGGAGGATTGCTTGAGCCCAGGAGTTCAAGACCAGCCTGGGAGCAAGACTTCATCTCAAATTTAAAAAAAATTAGGGCAACCCCTTCGGGTCCCCTTCCACTATAGGAACTTTTCTGTCCTCTCAATAAATCCTGCTTTCCAAAAAAAAAATTAGCCAGACATGGTGGCATGTACTTGTAGTCCCAGCTACTCGGGAGGCTGAGGTGGGAGGATCGCCTGAGCCCAGGTCAAGCCTGCAGTAAGCTGTGATCCTGCCACTGCACTCCAGCCTGGATGATGGAATAAGATCCCAACTCAGGAAAAAAGTTAACTTTTTTATCTTACCAGGGAAAATTATCACAGTAAATACTATATTTTTCCTTAAAAACCTTGTTGTTTCCTTTAAAACCCTGCTTCATTTCTTGGGAGATGACATTTTACTACAAAATAATTTGGTTAATAAAGAAATAGGTTTCAAAAGGTTTTCTGAGTTGGAGTCTTACTCTGTTGCCCAGGCTGGAGTGCAGTGGCATGTTCATGGCCACTGCAGCCTCAACCTGCTGGGCTCAAGTGATCCTGCTGCCTCAGTCTTCCAAGTAGCTGGAACTACAGGCACACGCCACCATGCTCAACTAATCTTTTTATTTACTGTAGAGATGAGGTCTCGCCAAGTTGCCCAGGCTGTTCTCAAACCTGTGAGCTCAGGCAATCTTCTCACCTTGGCCTCCCAAAGTGCTGGGATTATAGGCGTGAGCCACCGTACCCAGCCTGAGTGTTTTATTTATATATCTTGACCATTTATATGTAAAAAAGTTATCTCAGAGGCAAACTTGGACAAAAAGATGAAATTTTTGTTTGCTTGACGTTTAAAGGCCATATTTTGTGCACATTTGAAGTGGTTTTGCCAAAGGAAGCTTTATCTGAAGGGTTACAATCAAGTACTACATATTAATTTAAGAGAGAAAACACACCTGTTTTTCCATTTAAGTTACAAGTTTGTATTACAAAATCAAATATTGGTCAAAGAGAAACTTTAAATTTACGAAGGTCCCTGGTTTCTGAAAGTGTAACTGTTTTCCTGAGGCTGCTCTGGGTATGCCTCAACTACTAGTTTGCAGTCAGGAAAAGGAGAAGCAGTGGTGTGATGTGGCTTACATCAGAGCAGAACACGAGAAGTAAAATTCCCACAAAAGAGCTGCTCTCGTCTCAGCTCTTATTTTCCCCTGCTAAACCCATATTCAAGTCTGATCCTGAACAGCAGAGGAAAATTTAAGCACATTTGCTCAGAAACAGTAACAGTACAAGAGGCTTTACTGACTACAGTGCAAACTGAAGTATGAGGAAGAAACGATCATTTAAAAACACCAAAACCCTTGCAGAGCAGAGATGAAGAAATAAGTTAGACTACTGCTGGGCTGTGCTCAGGAGGGCCTCACTCGCTCCGGTCTTTGGGCTCTCGGTATTTCCATTGGATGTAATCAAAGATGTCTTTCTCACTGTCCACTGACAGGGGTTCTCCAGCAACTCCTGCAAGTAGAAAGATGAAACAACTTACCTGAAGAACCAGTCTTGAAAATTTAGTACAGAGGGTTCAGATAGTGAGAATGTGTGGGACTAACCTTCAGAAGGAAAGGAAAACGGTAACCACATCACTAAAATGACACTGGCCACCTCCATCCTCTCCCAACTGACGACCACCATCCTCTCTCAACTGATCACTACCATCGCCTCCCAGCTGGCTACCGCCATCTCTTCCTGTCTGCCCACCACCATCCCCTCCCGAATGCTCACTGTCATCGACTGCCCACTGCCATCCCCTTCCCCACCATCCTCTCCCCACCACCATCTGCTCCCAACTAGCCCGCCATCATCCCCTTGACTGGCCACTGTCATCCCTTCCAACTCAACTGCCCACCATTATCCCCTCCCAAATGCCCACCACCATCCCCTCCAGACTGACCACAGCCATCCTCTCCCAACTTGCCACCCCCATTCTCTCCCAGGAACTGTATGAGCTTTGTCACACACATTCTCAGTGCTACAGTGGGAAACTTAAGTACCCCAATCAGGCTATGGAAGTGACTCTAGTTCATGAGCCCCCTCTGCCAGGGTGACACTGCAGCCATTATGTGTTCTATAAGACACGCTAGTCATTTGCTTTGCAATGCAAGATGGTTCTTGCACTAGCAGCACTAGTGTGACTACTAGAAATGCAGGATCTCACATCTCATTGCAAGCCCAGGGCATCAGAGTTCAGATTTAGTGAGGCCCTAAAGCTGTTCTGTGCACACTGACATGTGAGAAGCACAACCCTCATCCACCAGGGATGAAAGTCTTATTTTATATTTATACTTTTAGGACAGAATGACTAAAGTTCATACTTCTAGTAGAGAATAGTAAACCTCATGGTTCACTACGAAAGTTAACAAGATCCATAAAGGAAAGATGAAGCAATCATTATTCTTTAAACTTTAAAAACATGGGGCCAAAGCTACCTAAAAGCAATAACAACTGAGCTGCTCAGAAGTCTTGAGGCTATGTCTTCTGAAAAAACCCTTTAGATCAATACTGTCCATCATAGGTAGAAAGGATTTTATCTATTTAATAGAGCTGGGAACAACCCCTACCTCAATGGCCTTCAACTGAGGGCCTGGGAGGACCTTCTGTCTAGATGAAAGCCTCTCTTGCTGTCTGAGGGACTCAAAATACAAAGAAACTGCACTAACTGGCATAGTCACTAGAAGACTGTTGAGAGAAACTGAATTTGCTAAGCCAAAATACCTTTGAAATAACATTCTTTCCAGATGACAGGGACACTCTAATGCAGACACAAATACTCACCAGTGACTCCCAAGGGGCGAATGGTGTACTCATTGATTGTGAAACCCTTCTCTAGGGCATGAGCTCTCATATTCTTATTGAAAATATCACTTCCAGTGAAATAGAGAACACCACAGTAATACTGATCTTTGGGTATCAACCTAACAAAAACAAACAGATAAATTTTTTTTACTCTACATTTCAAACTTAGCAAAATAGGACTCCTAAAATCAATTAGAAACAAAATACGACTATGTGGCCTAATGACACATAAGAGGGGACATCATTAGGTAAACCACTGAAATCACTCAACCTTGCAATTTATTTAGGAGTCAGTATATTTGGCCCTGAAAGAGGTATGGAGAAATGTAAAGCATCCTCACTCCCCAGGCAGGAAATCAAAAGTCTGTAGACAGTCATTCCTCTTTAAATACTTTTGAGCTAAATACTGTATTTGGCAAGAACACGTGGCTCTTCAGAATAAAAAGAGGCTCCAGACATTCACGTGGACTTGGATACAAACAGGGTGAGGGCCCAGAAGCCCAGCAGAAAGAGGTGACATCAGCAAAGTGAGGCATACCTGATGTCGATCCTTCTGTATGGATACTCCTTCCCATCACTCTTCCTGGGAAGCTGACAAACACCCTACAATGAGCATTTTTAAAAATGTTTACAGATGTCTTTAAACTTATGACTTAATCTTAATAAAATGTTTAACAGGAGGTTGTTTCTGCTGTTAGTGGTAGTAGCTGTACAACTCTGGGAGCACTTTCCAAACTTCATAGCTTCTCTGAGCTGTGTATTATCCCCCTCTATCACACTTCATGATCATGAATGAGAATGATATGCAATGGCCAGCAAGCACTCTAGTGATGAGGATTTGGCCTTCATGTGATTCTAAACTAGAAGCAACAAGAAAGCATCCAACACGGAAAACAAACATAAAAATAAACAGAAAAGAACAACTTGGAAGAAATGATGATGCAGGAAGAAACAAGCAAACAAACAAACTACTAGTAATATTCTCAGATAACACAAAATAAGGGCAGAATACTACAGAAAAAGAATGCTGGGGGAAAGGATTAATTGAAAATTTAAAATATGACACCAGAAGTAGAAGAGTTTGAAACTGAGGACATCTCTCAGAAATTAGGAGAGAGGTGGAAAATGAGAAAAATATAAATAGAAAAAAAATTAGAGGAACATTTTCCTTCCTCTCTACTGGTGAGTTTTCATTATACTTCTTCCTTTCAAACAAAAATTACACATGCTTGTTTTGTCATCTTTTCCAGGAAAATGAGCAAAAATTCTGGACTGTACAGCAACCAAAATATATGTTAAAAAAAAAAAAAAAAAAGAGGCCAGGCTCGGTGGCTCAGCCTGTAATCCCAGCACTTTGGGAAGATGTGGCAAGTGGATTGCCTGAACCTGTGGGTTCAAGACCCACCTGGGCAACTTGGCAAGACCTCGTCTCTACAATAAATAAAAAATTAGCTGGGCGTGGTAGCGCACACCTGTAGTTCCAGCTACTTGAAAGGCTGAGATGGAAGGATTGCCAGGGAGGGCAAGGCTGCGGTGGCCAGGAGCATGCCAATGCACTCCAGTCTAGGCGACAGAGTGAAACTCCAACTCAAAAAAAAAACCAAAACTATAAATACCACATTTCCAATTACAAGTATCAAGAGACAGGTTTGTGGTCCTAAAGAGCAATCAAGTTAACACACATGCCACTAAAAGCCATACTTTTTCACTCAGCAGAATAGAAACATTAAAATCTAAAATGGGTATTTTCTTTAGCTTTTCTTACGGGTGCAAGATTAATGAACCTTATTTACCTTCAAAATATGAAACCTCCCTTCTTAGGCATTAACAAGGTCCAACTCAATTTCTACCTTCAAATGCAAGAGAAATCACTTCTATCTGAATTATCAGGAAGTATTACCTTGTGGACATGAATGTCTGGATGCCACAGGCAATGATCTTGCTGTTTGTCCTATCAGTCATAGGATTTCATCTAATGGTTTTGTTCCTTTCCTCAAGGCTAATTTTATTTTCTGTACTTTTTCTGAAGTGCTAATGTTAAGGAATTTTTCTTTACTACTGTAAATTCTGTATTAGATGGAGTGGTTCTGATTTTTTTTTTTTTTTGAGTTGGCATCTCACTCTGTCGCCCAGACTGGAGCGCAGTGGCCTCTCCCGGCCACCGCAGCCTTGACCCGCTGGGCTCCAGCGATCCTTCCACCTCAGCCTTCCAAGTAGCCAGAATTATAGGCATGCGCTACCATGTCCGGCTAATTTTTTGATTTATTGTAAAGATGAGGTCTCGCCTGCCCAGGCGGGTCTTGAACCCGCGGGCTCAGGCAATCCACTCATCTCAGTCTCCCAAAGGCACCGAGGCTGAGCCATCGAGCCCGGCTGAGTGGATCATTTTTATTTGGCATTTCAGTTGGGTAGCCTCGTGCTGCATGTCTTTAGACATGCCTCTTTCATTACTCAGGGTAGCTGTGGTATCTCCTGTTGTCCCTTGAGTTCTTCCTGTAGCTATTTCACATAAAATCACCTACGGCCATACTTGCACAAACACTAAAATTTGAATGGCACTTTTCAAATATAAAACTCATACTTAAATGCAGAGGAAAATGTTTTTTCTTACAAATATTATTATATTCACAGGAAGAAAGGCCCAATTATCTAAAGTCTATGATTTTACAAGATGATCTGGAGTACCACTGGCTCTCGTGTTTATAATTTTGGGCACAGATTAAGACTTCAAAACGTGATAGTCAAGAGAACAAATCACAGATTTAAATCCCAAAGACTGATTATGGTATTACAGATAATGGTTTTTACCCAGGGTTCCTGGCTCTCAACTCTCACAGTCCTTGTTAGTGTTTTGTTATAGTGTTGGGTGGGGCAGACCTCAGGAAAAGAAGCTCTTCAACCTTCCCTTTTCCTCCTTGGGGCAGAACTCTGATATTCCCCCATTTTCTGAGTGGGTCTTTAGAACCTCCCAGAGAGATCCTGCCCTATATCCTTGGGAAAGAAGGAATGCTGAGGTCTGGGTTAGGAAAGTTCTGGATAACTGAACACATGGAGATTTCTGGGGGGTGGCTCACCAGGGAGGGTATGGAAACTCAATGCACCTTCACCCATACCTCGCCCTACGCATCTCTTCATCTGTACCCTTTGCAATATCCTACCTTAATAAATAGGTAAATGTGTTTCCCTGAGTTCTGTGAGCTGCTCCTGCAAATTAATTGAACCCAAAGAGGGGGTCGTGGAGAACCCGACTTGAAGCTGCTCAGTCAGAAGTTGCAGAGGCCCAGGCTTGTGACTGGTGTGTGTAGTCTGATGGGACTGAGTCCTCGCCCTGTGGGATCTGACACCATCTCCATGTAGTGTTAATTGAATTGGAGGATGCACAGCTGGTGTCCACTGCTTGGTGTGTGAGGAGAAACCCCCACATTCGGTCACAGATCAATGTCTGTGTTAACTATTGTCATGGTGGACAAAGGAAAAACTCAATTTGGGAGATTTTTCCCCAAAGGACTGACTAGACCTTTTAGTTATATCATCCCCAAAGTTTGCTTGGAAACATTGTTAAAATGTGACCAACTTAAGCAATACATTTTCACAGCCCATTAAAATCACCATGCTGAACTTAATGACGTAACTTTGTATTCGTGTGTGTGTGTGTGTGTGTGTGTGTGTGTGTGTTTACACATACACAATATAAAATTTCCCATTTTGAAGTGTACTTTTCTTTCTTTTCTTTTTTTTTTTTGAGTTGGAGTCTCACTCTATCGCCCAGACTGGAGTGCAGTGGCTGCTCCTGGCCACCGCAGCCTCGACCTGCTGTGCTCTGGCGATCCTTCCGCCTCGGCCTTCCAAGTAGCTGGAACTACAGGCGTGCACTACCCCACCTGGCTAATTTTTTTGATTTACTGTAGAGATGAGATCTCGCCAAGTTGGCCAGGCGGGTCTCGAACCCATGGGCTCAGGCAATTCACTCACTTCGGCCTCCCAAAGCGCAGGATTACAGGCTGAGCCACCGAGCCCGGCCTGAAGTGTACTTTTCTATGGCATTGAGTACATATACTGTTGTGCAACTATCACTACCATCATCTCCAGAGCATTTTCATCTTCCCCAACTGAAGCTCTGTCTCCATTAAACACTAACTCCTCATTCTCTCCTCCCCCCATCTAACTGAACCCTAACCCTAACCATCTGGTGAGTCACCCCTCATTTATTATCCACACATCCATATATTTGGATGCACTCTTGGACTCCCTGGCTTTGCTATTCGGATAAGTTCTTGGGTCTCTCGGGCTTTTCCCATTTCTCATCTTGGGATATACCCAGCAAGGGTCTGGGACCCAATTGCCATACGTCCTGGTACTGGGCCTTCCAGGACATGGTGGAGCATAGCATGCAGTGAGCTCCAGTGGGCACAGGGATGGGAGGACGAGGATGCTCTCTCCCTGGTGACTCACATCCTTTGTGTTGATTCCTTTGAAACTGTTGGGGTCACCCGGCAGGGGATCTGGAGGGTTAAGGCCCAGGAACAAATCCATAAAACCAAGAGCACATCCCAGTTGTATCCCTGTTTCTTTTTATAGGATCCATGGGATACTCTCAATCAGTTGTGAAAAAAGATACACCACTGGCATGCCTTTTAAAACACCTTAAACCCAGGCTCGGTGGCTCAGTCTGTAATCCCGCGCCTTTGGGAGGCTGAGGTGAGTGCCTGAGCTCACGGGTTCGAGACCCGCCTGGGCAACTTGGTGAGGCCTCATCTCTACAATAAATCAAAAATGAGCCGGGCGTGGTAGCGTGCGCCTGTAGTTCCTGCTACTTGGAAGGCTGAGGCGGAAGGATCACTGGAGCCCAGCAGGTTGAGGCTGCGGTGGCCAGGAGCGGCCACTGCACTCCAGTCTGGGTGACAGAGTGAGACTCCAACTCAAAAAATAAATAAATTAATTAATTAAATAAAACACCTTAAAGTTTTAAAACTAAATGAGAATATTCACCCAAAATGTTTAATATTTTACTGCAATACTGCTTGGCCACAATATAAGCTGGGGGATGGCGAAACTGGAAGGTGGCTCCCTAGCTCCTAATACACTTCTGCAGCTTGATTTGTACTTAAAAAGAAATGGCAAATGCCTTCAAATTCCAGATATTCAGGTCTTTTATGAGTTAGCTCACCATCCAGATCTGTTCCTCTTGCCACCTTGTTGCATTGACTCCCCAGACCCCATTCATTGCCCATAGGTTCATCAGAGGATACCAATCCCACTGACTTAACTTCCCCTCCCTCAAAAGATTTTCCACCTCCTCCATACTCTCGTATTCCTTCTACAACTCCGATTCCTGCTTTTCCTCTAACAACTCAAATGCTAACCCAGCTGGTTGAACTTCTGTCTCTTGTAATCTGCTTTTGCTACTCCACTCTCCATCAGTTTCCCTTCCTTCTCTTCCTTTTTGCCTTCCACCTTGACCTGCGGAGGAGGGGATGACATCTATAGCCATGAGCCCTAACCCTGGCCTCCAGTCTCTCTTCTCTTTTACCTTTGGAGAAGGGGCCGGCCCCAAAGGCCACGGTGCTTGACCCCAGCCTCCAGCCTTCTCGTCCCCCTTCTCTCACTGTCTGAAAACCCCCTGGCGGCAGCCCTATTAGCTGCAGCAAGTCTCCACCCCCCCATGTGTACTTGGGAATCCCATTCAGGTTTCCACATGGTTTAACCAGTCTCTCCTCAGGGAGGTGGCCGGAGCAAAAAGATATTAAAGCTCTTGTCTGTCTTTTTTTGTTGTTGTTCTTCTATGATAAACTTCTCAAGTTAAATCTAAACTGGGACCATAACAACCTTCTTTCCAGACAAAAGTAAAGGGAGCACATGTTAATTAATCCTGTTAACTAACAAACAAAAAAAGTCAATTGTAATTTTAATCTGCTTTTCAAACCAAACTTGCAAGTCGTCTAGTAAAATCTTAATTCCAACTTTACCACGTACTAAAATATTAGTGCTAAATAACACCAGTGTTTGTTATATCGGGCTCATTAAGGTTGTATTTATAAAAAAAAAAAGTTAAGTCACTTTTACTAAGCCTAGTACTTCTCCTGTCAGACAGATAAAATACTGGGTATTCTGTGTGAGCACAATAAGGATGGGAATTGATCACTCTCACCTAATTCTCCACACCTTACAATTAAGATTGTAATTTAGCAATCTATAAGGGTTTTTAATAAATTTGCCTGTTCATAATTATAAATAAGTAGGGACAAATCATTTCATATTCATGTGGTCTGCTCACTCTAAAGGGTTTTGCATCAGACTGTCACAGAGAAATGGTTAAAAAGTTTCACATGTATAATCTATTAAAAAGGAGGTTTTTAAGGTTTTTTTCAGTCAAAACATTAAAAAACAAAAAACAAAACAGTGCCAACATGGAGGGCAGCAGAACCAGAGGTCCAAAACAGCACCCCAATTGGCAGTTGCAAAACTCCAACTGCCCATCAAAGACCCGGTAAAAAATCTGCTAAGGGGATGGTGTCTGTTGCTTATGGGTACAGTCCGTAGGGGCACTGAAAGCATAGTTGCCCCAAAAAGGTCTTAGCCTCCTGGACCTTGTCCAGTGTGCAGGCCAGAAAGCCATAGGGAAGCAGGTGCACTCTCTTCTGAAGAGAGGAGAGAACACTTGGCTCACAAACAGTGGCCACTTATGGAGGCCTGGGAATCTGCTAAACTGCCTGGCATTTGCTCACCATCACTCCAACAACCCCTAGGTAAATATTAGGGTGCTAGAACCCAAATTAATTTCTCAATTTAATATAGGTGCCAGCCTTTTGGTCCTAGCCATCCATGTTGGAATCACATAGCCTTATCTTAATTAAAAGTTACTGAAGGTTAATTTTAAAAAGTGTAAGTGGGGCAACCCCTTCAGGTCCCCTCCCACTGTGGGAGCTTTTCTGTCCTCTCAATAAATCCTTTCTCACTTAAAAAAAAAAAGCCTGTCTAATTAACAATCTCTAAAAGAATTTTTTCTTTAAATAATGGGGGTGGGGAGGAAGAAACAAAATTCAGTTACTACCTCCCCCTGCTGCCTTTGTTACAAAAGTGAGGTTTTTTTTCCTTTTCAAAATCTTTGGACTATCACTTTCGCTAAATAAGTAACTTTTACAATAACTACTGTAATCTTGTGTTATGACATTATGTTTTTAAAAATTTTAATACTTAAACTCAAGTTCTCAATTCAGTCTCTTTAGGGTAGGGTAAGAAAGAAGCCCCAGGAACCATACTTGCCCTACACCCTCCTCTTGAACTGCCTGCAGACCAGGCACAAGGGTTACTAATCCAACTATAGGATAAATAACAAAATAACATGGGCTGAGCCCTCTAGCATATCAATCATTGTGAAAGTATATCAGACCTATTATAAAAACAAAAGAAACCATTTTCTCTTGCTAATGTTTACCCGTTTTAAATTCTAAATTTAAGCTACAACCTAATTACATGTCTCTAATGTTTTCCATTTCTCTTTCTTCAGACTTTGTCAAAGTGGCTGTGTATTTCCTTGTTAAAGTACAACTATAGATTATTTACAAGGAAATATTTCAACTTATGTTGATAAATTAGAGGTTTTAGCAAATCATACATATAATTTACAGAACTACTTTCACTTTTCCAGCAGTGTTTCTGGGGCAATAGCCTTTTTCATCATTGCATGTTTGACAATTTTTGCCTATGTTCTCACTTGATGTTTCATTACATCTAAATAGTCTTCAGTTGCAGTCACACTATTTCCTATTTGTGCCCTTGGAAATAGATAGGTAGGGGACATCTCTACAGCCCACCTCAGCAGGAAGCAGTTATGGAAGATTGATCCTAGCCCCATTTCGCAGGATCTTAAGAATAATTCCAAGAGCAGGAGTGGGAAATGAAAGGACGGACCAAGAGTAGAAGCCATTTTTGTCTTGTTCCTAAACCCTAACACAATGATGGGAAAGTAGAAGTTATGTGCTGGAGAAATGCATACTCTAGGTAAAGATTAACTTTGCCAACTTTGTCTTTTGAGAAACACAGAACCCTCAAGCATGACCAGTACCAGCCTAAAGTAATTTGTCTTTTTAGAAACCCAAATTTCTCAAGCATGACCAGTATTGGCCCATCGTGTAACTTCCTGAGGGTGGTAAGATTTGTGACTCGGTGCCTGGTGACTAGGGTCTCCAAGACATCCGCAAATGGTCAACAAGGAATTCACAGCAGTCATGTCTACCTGATTGCAATATCTCTAAGGGAAAGGATTTAAGCTGGGGCTCAGGGGGGTACATGGCCACACTCATCTTGGAGTGCCAGTCCTCTTCCTGTATGTGGGAAGTAATCTCTTTCTTAAATAAATCTTTTATTCTTTCATTTCTGTGTGTGTTGCCAATCTTTGCATTACTTGGATCTCTGGTTACCAGCACACACTTCCAGCACACTGGCTCCAGCAGTGCTGCACCCCTCCACATCCATCTATCTTTCCTCTCATACCTTAACACCTAGACCCTGGCAAACACCACTCTACTTTCTGATATCTCAATTATCTTTCTCAATCATCTTTTGCTTTTGGCTAAAACTTCTGCCAAATCTATACACTGAGATTCTTACTGATTTTAGCATGTCCACCCCCTGAAAGCAAAGTCTTTTTCAGTCATATAACTTAGAAAAAGGGGGACCTGAAGAAAAAGGGATCCAACTGATGTATAAGTGACCAAAAGAATAAAGATAGCCTTAAGAAGTAAGAATCTTTATTCTAGATTTTTCGCCTTCCTGTTGATTTTTATACAGTGCCATTTATTAATCTGTTTGAATCCATATGCCATTTGTCTTAAATCTTAAAATCTGAATTTAAAGATTAAGCCAAATCCCAGGAAGCCTAAGGGATTTGGACAGTTCATCACAATGAGTTTCACTGTGCAAGTGTTCCCCTCAATCAGATTCCATAGTTATCATTCTGCAGAACATGTTTCTTCCCTGAGTGTTCTATTACAGAACGCTGACACTTCTTTCTTTGGAAGTGTAATAGAGTAATACTCTTCAATCAATTCTAATCTCACTTATTGAATAATTTTAAGACAGAGAATATGAGAACCATTTGCTATTTTAGGGAAAAACTTACTGTGTGTCAAAGTCATTATTGAGATATATATAAATTTTTTTTTTTTTAGAAAGCAGGATTTAGCCAGGCTCGGTGGCTCAGCCTGTAATCCCGCGCCTTTGGGAGGCTGAGGTGAGTGGATTGCCTGAGCCCGTGGGTTCGAGACCCGCCAGGGCAACTTGGCGAGACCTCATCTCTACAATAAATCAAAAATTAGCCTGGTGTGGTAGCACACACCTATAGTTCCAGCTACTTGGAAGGTTGAGGCAGAAGAATTGCCAGAGCCCAGCAGGCAAGTGAGACTCCAACTCAAAAAAAAAAAAGAAAGCAAGATTTATTGAGGACAGAAAAGCTCCCACAGCAGGAGGAAACCCGAAGGGGTTGCCCCTATTGATATTTTTAAGAAGCAGATTATACCTAGTTATCTATTCCAATATTATATCTATAGGTGGAGAATTAAGAGAAAATTATTTATGAATATTCAGAGAGTAGTTTGTTTGTTTGTTTTGAGTTGGAGTCTCACTCTGTCGCCCAGACTGGAGTGCAGTGGCCGCTCCCAGCCACCACAGCCTCGCCTGCTGGGCTCCGGCGATCCTTCCGCCTCAGCCAT